GCCAGGAGCTTTCCCATCATGCTTTGGACGCACAACCCTCTTCCCCACAGAGCTGTCTCTCTCCGCTCCTCTTCATGACGCACAGTCCTTATGATCAGTATTGTCTTGGTCTGGGAGGCAGGGTCTCTCTAAGTAGCCCAGGCTGGCCGCAAGTTCATGGCAGTCCTACCTCAGCCTCCTGAGTACTGGGATTACAGGGCAGGCCACTATACGTAGGACGTTTAATGTTTAAAGGAAAACTCAGGGCCAGCGAGATAGCTCAGTGGTCGAAGCACCTGTTTAGGCAGGCGCAGGGACTGGGTTCGATACCTGGCACTACATACTGTGCCGGCCCCGTGAGCCATGACCAGGCATGGTGGCACATGTAATCCCAGTAATCCCAGCGCTGGGGAGGCTGAAAACAGGAGGATCACTGTGAGTCCAAGCTGCACAGAGAGACCCTGTACCAAGATACATTAAAAAATAATAATTAGTTAAAGGAAAACTGAACTTGCAGTTGGCATCAGCCATCCGGGCACAGGGTGCTGCTTCTTCCACTCTTTTTATGACTGAAGTGTCCTTGTGAGCAGTGGGTATTTTGCTGTCCCTTCTTCTATAAAAAATGGATTTTTATTTTATTTTATTTTACTTTTGTGTGTGCGGTGCTGGGAATTGAACCTACGGACTTGTGTATGCCAGGCAGGAGCTCTGCCACTGAGCCACGCTGCCTACAAGCGACTGCAGTAGGGTCTGATTGCCCCACCCCCCCATCCATCAGCAGTGGCAATGATAAAGGAAAGAAGCCGCACTCTGTGGGCAGAGAGAGTAGGGCATTAGCCTTAAAAAAGAAAGAGCTCATATCTGACAACCTGGGTGAATCTGAAATATGCCAGGTGCAGAAAGACACGTGACATGAGTCCGTTTGCACAAACTGGCTCAGACCAGGAGAGTCTGAGCCAGTTACGGCAGCATGTGCCTGAGTCCTAGCCAGCCAGGAGGCTGAGGCAGGAGGATGGCTTGAGTCCAGGAATTGGAGACCAGCCTGAGCAGTACAGTGAGACTCTGTGTTCAAAAGAAAAAAAAAAAAAAAAA